CAGAGTTTATTCTCTTGAGTCTTTGCTTTCTACACTGTTGTCTCTGCTGAGACAGGGCTGAGGAAACCCTGTCAAGAAAATAGATTTGGATTTCGGGCGTGGGTCATTCACTTTCTTCTCTCACAGTACGTGGGCCCTAGTTGACATCAAAAGAGAGAGTCCATTTCCAGTAAGAAAAAAGGAATATTGCATATTAGAATTCACTTTTAAACTTCTGGATGTGATAAGAGTTTGATGGTCTGCCACCAGGTTTGTGAGATGTCTCTATTAACTACTCCTCCATTTGGTACAGACGCATCTGGGAGAGAAACAAGGATCTCAGAAACTCCTGCTTCTGCCCAAAAAAGCTAATGCCAACATGGTCAAAGAATTAATTCCCTAGATGACTTAATTTTAAATCCCCAAGTTTCTATAAATATGTATGAAAATGCATAGAAGAATTTCTGAAAGGATTAGTAAGGAATACTTTGGAAAAGGGGCATGGATAGTCAGCACGTGTTTGTATGGAGATAGACCACCCTATTTCTGTACTGGGTATTTTACAATGGCTATGCATTCATGCATTCCTTGTTTAATTTTCAAAAACTTAAAAGAAATGAAAAAATTACTTAATTTTATTTCTGGTTACTGCATTGACCACTTATGCAAAGAATGCTGGTCTAGGACTCAGGTTACCTGCTAAAACTTTGCTTGGCAGTGAACCTCAAAGATTCTCTGTGAATTTGTAAAATGAGGTATTTGGATAAGATCATCTTTTTGATTCCAAGGGCAGAAAATCAATTGGAATTAGAAAAAGCCTAAACTAAGTTGTAGAAAGTAGAAGTTTCACTTTTTAACATTTAGGTAAATGAAAAGTGTCTCCCAAGTCCTGCTTGCCATTCTGGTCAAGACTGTGGAAGCCTCCCTTGCAGATGAGAAGAGCCAAGAGGGAGCCCCGAGAGCACTGTGATGTGTGCTTGAGAGCTCAAATGGTTTGATGAGTTTCTAACATCTTATCAAGCTGCTGAAATGAATTTCAGCTTTCATTTTTCAGTTGTTTAAGAGAAAAAAGTGTAATTTTCCCTTGTTGAATGAACAGAACAGCGAGGGCAGAGCAACCTTTGCTCTCACTTTTTGAGCATGGGTTGAGATGAAAAGATATCATCGGAGGCCTTCCAGATTTCCAAGGCACAAAAGAAAGACTCCATAAGGCTATCGAATCAGTCCATATTCTAAAAAGCAAGAAGGAATAGCTAGAGAAGCCTGTTAGAGAGACCTTTGTCATTTCCACGTCAGGGTATATTCTAACTTATGAAACTTGCTGTGGGAAGAACTGTTAGAGCTCTCTGGACTGACCCATGCTAGCGTCCCGCTCAGGAGACGGAAGCCCAGGCGTGTGGCCTTGGTCGTAGTTAAGCATGAGGCTGGGCTTTCGCCTCGGAGCTCAGGGAGGGCTTCAGGGTGAAGCCTGTGCCAGGAAGTCAGGGCAAGGAAGAGACCTAGAGAGTCTCAGACCCCTGAGAGGACACGTGTGCTCAGGGTGGTCAAAGTGTCCCCTTCCCGAGCGCACAACTACCTCTACCGAGTACAAAGTACCCATGGACGCTGTTAAAAGAGCACCCCAAAATCCCCCCGTCAACTTTTGTTCTTCTGGGATGGTCTAACACTACCTATCCCCAGAATATTGCTTATATTTTCCTAACAGACTAGTGAACTGTTTGATAGTATGGAAATAAACTTTAATTTGTTCCTTTCTGTACAATTCTAAATTCAAGGGGGATTCCTAGATTCACAAAATAGGTGTCATCAAATTTCCTCATAGTTTTCTTTTGCACTTGCTATATAAAATGGTATAATCACCATGATTCCCATACTTATTATTTTAGGCACAGGTATGGAATTAATGTGATTTTTAACATTAATTTAAAGCAAGTTTACTATGCATTTGTATTTGATCTTCAGTTTAAAACGTAGCTTCCACTTACGTAAACAGCAAGATGAATGCCTAGATTTTAGTAAAAATAATAGGAAAAAAAACCAATTTAAAGTAGATAGGAATTTAATCTCTTCAATTTAAAATCTCTTAGCTTGAATCCCTCATTAGAAGGGCTTCATAAAAACAAGCTGTAAACATTCTCAATAATGAAGCATAAATATATGATCTATGATAAAGCTTGGCCCTGAAGCTATATATGTTTAAATATACAAAATCCTACTTTAACTTGATTCCCTCTTGTTATTTTATTAGCTCCATCCTCCAGTGAAATGCATTTGTGTGCGTAATTATCTTGTGCCTATACCTCGACCACAGACCATATTAAAAAATGTTTCTTCCCATAAACTGTGAAGTATTCATTGATAAGCCACAGGGAACTTATACTATACATGTTCTTACCAATTAATGCTGTTGACTTGGTTTATGAGGATTGAATTATTCATCAGAATCTTTTTATATCACATCCCTGCAGGCTAAGACTCAGAGATGTTAGAGCACCAACAGGATGAAGAAAACAGAATGATCTTACTTAAAAACCAGTCACCTCTGTTAGATCTCTGTACTTTCCATACTCCAAATGATGATTTGTTCCAAGCCCCACCATGTACTAACATGGAGGAGTAGTCATGACCCCCCCCGAAATGTCCCAGTTAAACTGCGGTTTTGTGAGGTAGGGGAAAACCTTGCTTTGGGAGTCACAAGGTGTGGGTTTCAGTTGGTTATACCTTTGTTACTAACTAGGATTGTGACCGTCAGCGAGATCCTTAGCCTCTGTGGGATTGTTCCTATAAATTCTAAAATGAGGAGCTTGGCTTAGTGGAGGGTTCACACTTCTTTTGTTATAAAATTTCATTAGGACTCTGTAGTGTTTGTTTAGAAAGTACAAAGACAACAGCTGGTCTATTTTGATGCACGCTAGAAATAACAACAAGTAAAAAATGCATATGACTTGAAATATTCAGGGAAATGAATAATGTGTAATCCTCTCTCCCCACCTCCAAAGCCCTTTGGTTCTATCAGGTTTGGTATATGAAATTTTGATCACTTAAAACAGTTGCAGTTTGGATTAGAACAAGCATCTGCCAGAGGGGTAAGCAGATAGAATAAATGAGATGGAAGCATTTCACGTGTGCTAAAAACATGGTTGGCGTCTGGTACGATGTAGGAATTTTCATCACTACCCACTTGGGATGTCATGAAATTCGTCATTTAGGTAATATTTTTAAAGTGTTTTTCTTTACTTGGTATTAAAAGTAGAATTAACTATAATTAGAATGTTCTATATCATGTCTTATTATAGAAAAATTTCATATACAGTGTCCTCAAACACAACAGTTCTGACTAAAACTGAGTACTTCCTAACTCCTCCCTCTCCTATCTGTCTTCTAAGAGGGAGGGGTGATGGTTACCTGAGCACCGCTCAGGGACCGCTCATATCCACAGTGGCTGGCTTTCAATTACCTGCAAGAATTTTGCTTTCCTTTACTGAGGAATGACAGAGGTAACTGGAGCTAAGCCTAGCCTTCATGGGTTTTTTCTTCTCTTAGCAAGTTCCTTAGTTCCTTCGGTTCTTGATTCTAAGTCAGCAGGGTGGTTATAAGGGTGGTGATTTTAAGGTGACGGATGACAGAGGCTGAATTCCTTATTTTTCAAGAAGCATGATTTAGGATCTCAGAAGAAGGCTTAGATCCTCCTCTGAGCCCGGGGTGAGCTCCCACATGACCCTGGACTTATGAAGGGGGGGCAGGCTTTGGGACCGTGTGTGAGGATGTGTGCACACATGATGAGATGAGCAGAGCAGAGGACTAAGCAGCCCTCTTTAACCATATTCTACCACCATGGCTAGGAGAAGGAGTCGGCTTGCACTCTGTTCAGAGAAAGACAAATAAAATATATATTTAGCTGATAATCAAGATATAATTTCAAGGGAGGGAAAAAAAAAAGAGAGGTGGTTGAAGGAAGATGAGAATAATGAAGACAAAGAAAGTATTGTTCTTGTCTTTCTGGGAAAACGTTTGGTTTTCCTAGGTAAGGGGAATGATGTAAATGTCAACAGTGGTAATACCATAATCCCACCGGAGCACATCTTATGTCACAATGAAATATATGTCTGAGAGCTGTCCAATGAGTAACCGTCATTTTTAAGAAAGCTAACATCCACACAAAGAAAACAGGCACTGACAAAAGATCGCCTTCTCAAACATGCGGACTCCGTAGAGAATGGAGTATTTTACAACCTGAATTGAATGAAATACAAGAATGTAATCCAGAAATCACTCAATAGGTTTGGAAGTTTCAATGTTATAAATGGTTATTTCCAAACAAGGGTCATTTAATAAAATGCAGCCCAAGTAAATAATAGCTGGTGCTGGGCTTTACACCCCCTGCCACCATCTCTCTCTCAACATACAGCCTGATGACACAGAATGTTCCATGGGATTTCTCAGCTCACTTTTAACAAGTGCCCAATCAGAATGGAATTACAGTTTTTATACAATATTTAATACGACTATACTGAACATTTAGTCACCTTTAATATAATTATTTAAGAGCCTAGTAGATGAAATTGCATTTCACAGAAACAAGGACAAGTTGAGATCGAGACACAAAGTATGTGTTCTGAAGCACTGGGAAGCACTTGCTCACCGTAATAAAGATGGCCCAAGGTTTCCGACCTGGTTAAAAATAAGGAGTCATATAAGAAATGGCTTTATTAGAAAAAACGTAGTGTACACGTGGCTAATTTTTATCATCGATAGACCTCGTGGCTATTTTATAATTAAAATCTGATCGAGGGTTTAAACTTCTTTAGAAGTTAGTGGCATTTCTTCCTATTCTGATATGTGACTTAGGTAAGGTATGTGACAGATACCCTTTATTTCTTTCCATAATTACAATGAATCAATCAGTAGTTTAGCACTGGCACAAAACATAGAGGACATCATTCAGGTAGTGCTTTACGTGTAAGCTACCCACACTTCCAGCCCCGGAACCAGGCACGAGTGTGCCATTTTATATATATAGTCTTTCGATCCCCTACAATCCCTCCGGTCCCGCGTTATTATTACCTAGTAGTCATGAAATGAACGCGATCATCTGTAACCTAACAACACCGCTGAGTGAAGTTTCTCTCTTCTCCTTTTTTTCTCCTGTTAGGTGTGCAACTCCAAGCAAACGTGTGGTACAACTTCCAGTCCCTCTTTCAACTCCTTCACGTCTGCGCTATTACACTGAGACAACCACATCAAGATAGAGTCTGTCATATGATTCCCTGAAGCACAGAATGAGGAGGAGACTGAGCAAACACGACCCGGGAAGGCACCAGTTGAACCAAGACAACTCTGGAAGACAAAAACACGCAACTGTAAGCATTCAGATGTCAGCAGCAGAACCACCTGTAAAAATCTATTCCTCCAAAGGGGGGGGGGAAATCAATCACCTTTAGATGTTCGCTATTTTTAAATGCCCTCTATCACTGTTACTCTTGTCTCTGTTTAGAAATATCTGACAGTTTAGAAAGACAAGTAAGAAAAGCACCTGAATTTGGAGACAACACTTTTAGATTTTCTTGGATAGAAATATCTAGTTCTCAGCAAGCAGTCATCACCGTAAAACATGTTAGAAAATACATTAAAAAAACTGAAGTGAAATATAACAAATTAATCCTAATTCTACCCTCAGAGAAACTGCTGTGAATATTTTGGTTTATTTCTTTCTAGTTGTCTTTTTTTCCCCTTACTAGCATAAATGTATGTACAATGCCAATTATCCGAAAACCTACAGGAATTATCTAAACAGGCAATTCTGTCATTACTCGGTTTAATAGTATCAAGAACATGCTTATTAAAAAATGCTGGCTCATGAACTCGGGGCTGGCCCACAGGCCAGCCCCAGCCTCATGCTACCAAGACACGTCAGCTCCCTGTGGCCGCCTGCCTCCAGTGGCCCTGGGGCTGTGCATCTCTTCTACCTCCTTCTACCAGCCCTCCTTGCCAGGCAATCCTGAAGCTCTGGGTGCAAAGTGAGCAGCATCTTAGCATGAAGGGGTTGTGTTGGTGGGGGGGAGGGGGTAATTTCCTTAGTTTAATATCCATTAAGCAATTTCAATTAAACAAACAAACAAACAACAGGGGTGCCTGGGTGGCTCAGTCAGTTAAGCGTCTGCCTCCAGCTCGGGTCATGATCCCAGGGTCCTGGGATCAAGCCCTGTGGCAGGCTCCCTGCTCATCGGTGAGTCTGCTTTTCCCTCTGTCCACCCCATCACCCCAGCCCCGCCTGTGCTGTCTCTCAAATGAACAAATAAAATCTTAAACAAAAAAACAAATGAGGGAAAAAAAATTAGGGGGAAAAGCTCCCTCATACGTTTTCTTTCCTTTGGGCTCTGCTATAGGTTTATATTTTCCTTTTGCACTCCTATAGAATACTAATACTGGCTTAATCTTCAAAAATCATCCTAAAGATTTCTACACTGCTGCTTTAGTTCAATCCATAATTCATATGGCTAAAAGAGCAATTTATGCTCTGAAATGGAAATCAGAAAACCAAGTTGGTAAGAAAAGGTGCTGAAATACCTTTTTTCTGTAATATGCTTACAAAAGCAGCCTCCCCACATCTCAATTTTTACATTTTAAAAGGCAGACATGCTATTCTATAGCATATAACAAAGACATATATTTCAGTGGTATTTCTCTGCAAAGCTGTTTCCTGTGCTTTACTTGGATTGACTATAATCTAAACACCGAGGAAGACTGTGCCCCTAGAATCTTGTCTTCATTCCAATATTCCCTGAAATGACACACCAGAATTGTCAGCTTTTATGTTAACCATACAGCTTCTGGATTTCAGATAATAATTTTAACCAGGCAAAAAGAAGCAATAAAATAAAATAAAATAAAATAAAGCAGAGAAAAGACAGTAAAATAGAACAGCATACTATTTGTATTAAAAGTGAGCATTTTGACTTTAAGGTCAAATTTTAAGCAATAGCTAAAAAAAAAAAAAGTATGGCTTGACAAAGTGCTCTACAAGAAGGACATTTTCTAAATCTCAAAGAGATTGTATTTTATGGGGGGTTAGAGCAACATACATGTAGCAACACCCAACTTGTCCTTGCTCCCCTGAAACCCAGAAATTTACCAAACATTGCCAAAGAGACCTTTTATTTCATCAGAGTTATAAAATTATTCCTTCTCCCTGGGTTCAGATGAAAAGGGTTACGGTTTACAGGATGATTTTTACTATTGTGCCCCACTCTGAGAAGTCAAATCCATTTTTCAGTTAAGTTCACTTGGCTCAAGCAACTACAACTGTTCTTTGAAATTACTGGCCTTTTCAGAAGGCAAAAAGATACACATCTCTACATTTTCCCACTGCAAAACATTCACATCATTCACAGCTTAGGTGCTCTAATAAGCAGGAAATGGCTTGCTTAAATGTTTCATATGACTTTGCAGTAGCAAAGTCACCTGCTATCCTTTATGAGCCTGGTGTCATATTACATAATTGAACCAACAGGGTTCTGATTCAATGAAACTTTCTTATTCTTAACCATTATATTCTTTTCTTTTTTTTAAGATTTTATTTCTTTATTTGAGAGAGAGAGAGAGAGAGCGCAAGTGAGCGTGCGGGAGCACAAGCAGAGGGAGTAGCAGGCAACGGGAGAAGCAGGCTTCCCACTCAGCAGGGAATCGGACATGGGACTCAATCCCAGGAGCCCAGGATCATGACCTGAGCCAAAAGCAGATGCTTAACTAACTGAGCCACCCAGGTGCCCCAACCGTTATACCTTTTTAAAGACAGCATGGTTTTCTAATATTCCCTTTTTTTTTTTTTTTTTGGTCTTTCACTAGAGAAAATACAAATCCATACTTTAAATCTGCCCCACTCTGTACTTCTACTGGTTCTTTGTCATTTATTATATATAGTGCATCCAGAATAGTCTTTGCTAATTTTACAGTTCGGACAGGCACTGTGTCTTACTTGGTGAAGCAGACTCTGCACCAAATGGTGATGTTCTTTTGGGACTGAACTAATCAGGATTTGACTCATCCTCTTACCTTTTTCTTCCAGAAGTACTCTTACACTTTTTAACCTCATCTTTCTCTTTAATGATGCCATGCCTTCAGTTTCTACCACCTTCAAGTACTTGTCTGGTCCCAGATACCACCCTCCAGAACCAACCTTCTACCTTCTTTGGGGATTTAACCAGAATTAGGATGATTTAACAAAACTGTCTCCATTTGCATTCAAAAGGAGCCGCATGACCTCATGATTTCATGGTGTAATGCCCTGATTCCTTCACTCCCATTAACTACCCAACAGATCTGACCATAACATTATGTAATTACTCCCTACATACAAAATTTCTCCTTACTAGTCCACATCTGGTGAACCTGTTCTGGTAACCAACAGTCAAAGCCTCACTCTTCAGCCAGGCCCCTGAATCTTTTGAGCCACCATGTGGCCTCAAATTCATGGTCAGCTACTTAAAAGTGAAAGGCCTGAGGTGTAAAAACCTTTAGTGCATTTAGCCAAAACCTTCTAGAACAAAAAATAGCAAACAATACAAACTTCAGAACAAGTTACAAACAAAAAAGAGAACATTAGAATATATTTCAGAGCATATCAAGAAAATAACAGCATCTTCAAACTGATTTTGTATGCGAAGTTATTAGGATAGAGTATCACTGTACTGCTTGGAATAACTCAGAGATTCTCCAAGCAAACATTACTGGAAGCAACTCAGTTTTACAAACAGGCTTGTATTAGGGAGCAAGTAACAGTTTGTGTGTGTGCGCGTGCGCGTGTGTGTTTTAAAGTAACCTTGAAAAACCCAAGACAGAAAAACTCTAAGAAACTTCTGATACTGTCCCAAGTACTCCAAACAGAAAGAGAACAGGACATGGGGGATCCTGCGTCCCAAGAAGCCAGCGGCACTGGCATCGAAGCCGGTGTGATGTCTACCATCCATGATGGCAATGGCCATAATCTGCAAGCAAATCACCAGTGGAGGCTTTCTTGCTAGGCAAGTCATTCTAATGGGGTCATTTTGGGGCTAGTCTGTACAGCCCTGAGAAATTATCTCTTGACAGTCACCCACTAAGAAGCACACTGTGGGGAAATAAATGCTAGTCCGGAAGTTTAGTACTTCTTTGAGAAATGACCCATGAAACCACAGATCTTCATGATGATTAAAAAGCAGACCTTCTAATCATGTAACTGACAGAATTGAATCCTGACACATAACTAGCTTCTGGGTGAGTTTTTCAAGTTCTAACATGACCGAATTATGGTGTTTGAATACTGGCTGTAATGGAAGGGAATTCCAATTATCCCAAGAAATGTTTAGCGTACTAAGTTGTGGAGCTAAAAGTTATTTTTAGGAAATAATTTTGCAGAGTTTTCAGATTTGTTGCCTGTCCTCAAACCTCAGTTACAAGGTGTGAGGGCTTCTGCTGCAGGACTTTTGGGGCAGGATCATTGGGGCAGGGGTAGATCATTTCTACATGGAAGAGCCTCAACAAGGCTGTCATTGTTCTGGTAATCTTGGCCTTAGAGAGATGTGGGCGTATTTGTATGCATTTATTACACACACTCACACATAAACAGGTAAAAGCATCCCCTTAAAATAGAAGCCTAGATATTTAAATTCCTACTAGAAAGCAGCAAATTATCTAGAAGGAAACAAGACAAATATTTCGTGAGTGCCAGGGATGACCTGGCCTAGGCTCTTTCACATAAACCTTCTGATTAACTCTCTAAAATGTCAAAATGTACTGGGATTTTTTTTTTTCCTGAAAATCACCTTGCTGGATTAAAATTAATTGTTAAAGTTTCATTTTCCACAATAATCACGGAGATAAGGCAAAAGCCTTTAACATGGACACAGATATGTATATATACAAACACGTGATCGGAATCCAACCAAAAAGAGGGAAGCTTTTTTCCCCCCAGCTAGATAGATCCTTGATTATATCAGTGAGATAGGAATTAGCAGAAATACTGCCACATGTTTGTGCCGCTACCTACGCCAGAGAAACAAAAACATCTGCTTGTATCTGGTCACTAGGAATCTGCAAAATTGGGGGGGAGGTGGTGAACACTGATTGATGCTCATCTCTGTTGAACAGATTGAAAGCTGCGGGTGGACCAGCGGAGGGACACAGACACTCTACTGGCCAAGCAAAATGATTAGGAGTACACTGGGCTCTTCCACACTCAGACAGTGGAGGGCTATTCTCTGCCTTAAATGGATTATTAAATATATGATGTACTTTAGAGACCACATGCAAGAGGTTTATTTATTGGGGAATAACATTATCTGGCATCTACTGCTTTTATATGCTGGGAGGACAAAACTCTATTTCCAGCAGACAGAAAAAAACACACTCTAGCCAGGCTGCAGGGACTACTTAGCAAAGCTGTGCCCATGAGCTGGAAAATTGTTTCTACCACCTGAAGGGGCAACGCTGCCATCTGCACACTTTACCATGCAAAAATAGAGAGGTACTGAGCCTCTTAATTGCAAATGTGACATACGGAAGTGGATTAAAGCTCATGTGTAGTAACTGTTTACTCTATTTAGAGTTATTTGTTCTGTTTTAGAAAACACATTGGAAGCATTGACCTTATTCCAACACCTCTTGATGGCATTTTCCCTGACGGGAACACATGTTTCCAGGAGGACTGTAACCAGTGGGCTAACTTCATTAATCTCTGTCCTTCATATGAAAAACTCAACTCAGACCAAGTTTAGGAAGGTTAGAACCTACAATACCTGCATTACTGATTGATGGAAATAATCTAGTCTGTTGTTAGATTGTTAAGAAGTTAATACATCATTCAGATGCTTTTTGCTGTTAAGTAAAAATGCCATGTCCAAAGTTGTTCAAAACCCAGGCCAGACTGTTTTATCAGCTTTGGAAAGTTTTAAAAAATTTACTTTCCAGTCAAGGTAGTTATCATGGCTATTATTTCTATTATAAAACCTGTAGGAAAGTTTCCTATAAGCAATTAGGACTCTTAGATTGTCACATTTTAGAATGTTTCTTACATTTGAATCTTACAAATTAGATTCTTCCAGGTACAAATTATCTGAATTTACTGGTATTTTGATGAGCAGTTAAGAGAACAGCAAAGAGGAAAAAAGGGTAGTAATAATGAATTAAGATGAGGAAATAAAATAGGATCTAAGCCTAATAGAAATTAATAAAAGCTTTACATTTAAGAATCCCAAGTATAAGTACTTATTTTAATATGCAAAAAAGAATACCAGAAAATTATACTCAAATTTTCCGAAACAGTAAGACAGATTTTGGGCAGGAGAAGAAAGAATATCAGAGAAAACCCAACAACCATGCAAAACGGAGTCACTACAAACCCACGGACCCCAGCATGAGACTGGCCTGCCTTCAACCTGCCCGGCAACTTTTCCAGCTGTTCCCATAGCATCTCCTTCCACTCCTCAAAGATAATTTTAATGCTCCATTCTCTCTGTAAGCCCTTTCTCCACTATCTTCCCACCAGCTCTTAACAGAATAGCTTGTAAGCAGAAGTCAGTGCCATCAAAGAGCTCCTTCAATGATCTTCCCGGGAAACGTGTCTGCTTCTCTGCCCACACACGCTGCTTCCTCTCCTAACTCCTTTTGTCCAAGCCTAACTCCTCCAGCTGAGTTCGGGACCCCATCCTTCTCTCTCTTGCCCCTTTTCTTCAAATGTGTACTCTTGGGTTCTCACTTCAACCTTCTTTCACTCTTTTCCCGTGCTAACCAATTCACTAGCCACTAGCCACATGTAGCTATTTAAACTTAAATTAATTAAAATGAAATTTTAAAAGTCCAATTCCTTATTTGCACTAGTTTCATGTGGCTAGCAGAACTGTTTTGGATAGTACAGGTAAAGAGCACTGCCATCATCATAAAAAGTTTCATTGGACAGAGCTGTTCTATACATTCTACACACTCCTTAGGTGACCTCACTCATCTTTAAGGCTTTACACTACAAATATACCCTAGACATTAATTTATATCTTATGTTAAGACAGTAGATTCTAAGTACCTTTTAAAAAGCAACAGCCCAGTGGTTCTGAAGGAAACTGCATATTAGAATCACCTGAGGGGCTTTTAAAAATACAAATGCAGGACCCAGTCCCTGTTAATGAAACCAGAACCTCTAGGGAGCGAGGGCGCACTAGACAAGGCTCAGAATGCATTTCAAGAAAAACAACTGAGGATCTTTTTTTTTTAAACTGGCACGTGAAAGCTCAAAGTAATTTGCTTTGCTGAGAATTCTCCATATAAATTCCCCATACATCAGCACCACAAACCTCTCTCATAACACATTCAGCTAGGAGATAAAAAGTCAAATTTCTTACCTGTGTGATAAAATGTGAGAAAAAATAAAAGTACTCCCATGAACATATTACTTAAGAAAGTGACAACTCCACAAGTAATTCCTTCTGGAACTGGGTAGACAGTTTCCACAAAAAGCTCAAAAAATATAGGTATACTGCTATTCAGGAACACTCCCAGGAGAATGCAGGAGGCATACAATGTCACTAAAATAAAAACACAAACATTTTAGTTTCATGGCAGCAGCAGGGAGTCCTAGCGGAGAGATCTTCTGGGTATTCTCTTTCATAAGTAGTAACTCTGGAATTTCACATATTTTCAATGGTAGCTGATAAAGTTTGACAAAGTATCATTATCTGTCAGCTCTTTGCTCAGGTTTTGTGGAGTAGATAGGAGAAAGTTTTGTTGCTGGATGATAGATAACCAGTTTATTTGCTTTGTCTTTTTGGTATGGATTATTCCAAAGCACGGAAAAAATTTTACCACTATAGTAATAATTAAAAGGATTCTTCTCCCTTAGTCACACTCCTGGCTGATAGATGTTTAGATAAAGTATAGCAACTTAATTTGAAATCTAAACTCATTCTACAATTTTAAAGAGAACTTAAAATCTAAGAGTAAGTGTAAGAAACATTAAGTGTTACTGAAAATTACATACTTAAAAGAACTGGTTAGGAATCTCCCTCAAGTAAAAAATAAAAATATCCAGTATGTAATTCCTGGAGACACACTTAAAATAGAGTTAATCTTCATTTTGGAATGAGTTTTATGTCAATAGTTTTTAAAACAATACATTAAGTTTCTTGGAAACACAAAAAATTTTCACCCAAAGATGTAATCAGTAGTGGTTAGGATCTCAGGTTAGCAATAAAAAGCCCATTAACTGGATTCCATAGTGAAATCTTCGAATAAGGACATTATTCTTATTCTTAGAAGAATGTCTAGGGAAATGTACCCTACTCCAAATAGCTATGTCACAGCTACTGTCTGCATACAAACCTTCATTACCTTAAATTTAAGGTGAAAAAAAAAAACCAGTGAGGGAAAAAAATGATATCCTACAGCAAGTTAAAACACATCCTTTATAGACTAGTATGTATATCATAGCCAAAGATATAATAATGAGTAGAATTTATTCTAAGCCTAAGGTTATTGAGAAAATGCTTATTTTTTGTTTTTAAAAATTCTGAAGATCTAATCGGTTTTATTAAATGATTCATGAACTGGGCAGCATCTCATCTAGCAAGTAGAGGGAAATTCCCAGGAAAATACTTATTTTTAATTTTTTCTCAGAAAAATATTTTAAATAAAAGTATTTGTTAAGGAAAAAAGTTTCTGTATAGTAACCTCAACTCCCACTTCTTTTTCCAAATATACTAGTCTTCCAGGATTATAAAATATTTAATAATTCTATAACACAAATGGTGGTGATCATATTTTTTCTTTGACTAGAAGGTACACATGAAGAGAGAGAACAAAAGGATGACAGAGAATAAAGAACACACAACGGGCTAAAGCAGTGACCCAACTATTCACAGAATTAAATGGGAAGCATCTGATAGTTAAAGTAAGTACCACTTACAATATGTAGTAGTAATTTTCAAGATTCTTAAAAACAGAACCTCATGCTCACTATGTACTTGCCAGACACAGATCACATAAATCAGTCAACACACTCCCCTTTACACGTGACTCATCAGTGGCACATGAGGAAATGCAGGGATGGAATGTCACTGGCAGCTTTGATATCATAATCTACCTACAAACAATTAATAATTTATCAGTCAGTCAGTGGTAATTAGAGCAGAGATGGCTACTGACCCAAACACGGATGTATCTAGGAATGTGAAATATGAAAATATTGAAATAAATAACAGCAAAAATCAAACTCTTAAGGACTGGGATATGCTACTTCTAAGGATTTACAACCCACTAACACAATGAATGAGCTGTTTTTAGGGAACACGTCTGTTAAGAATCCTTTTGACATTTTTCTTTCTGAAAGAGATGAACTCTCACATGTAATTTGTAAGCAGGCAAGTTAAAATAACTGAAAAATTACCATAATCTGTATGGTATATTTGCATGTGGTAAAAGAAGGAAAGAATGATACTATAATGATGAGGACATACAGAAAGAGGACTATCAGTTTGAAGTCTTGAAAGGAGAGGTTTGGTTTTCCTGTTTTTTAATCAAGCATGGTACTGAGACAGAGAGAGCGAGCGAGCGAGCGAGAGACAGGATGTCTCAGAAAACTAGAGCCTGGTGAGACAGGCGGCCCTGTCTGAAAACCCCTTAACACCACCCCACTCCCTTGGCTTCACTGCATGCTCATTAAAAATCTTCTGATTTTGGTCTCCTAGGTATCTGAATTCCGGGAAGGGAAGAGGAAATCTTTATCATGGGAAAGACACAATTTCTGTTGTAAATTAAACCTTGTTGATGGAACTGTAAAGAGCTGATCTTCTGACAGGTCATTTGAAAATGCCTATCAAAATAAATAATGCACTTACTCTTTGACCCAGCAATTCCACTTCCAGGTATTTACCCTATAGCTAGTAAGGTACAAGAATATAGAGAACACTCACTGCAATATTGTTTGTAGCATGAAACATAAAAAACAAGCTAAATGTCCACCAATAGGGGGGTTGGTCATTTGGAAACTTATCAAACACCCAAAGGTGTATTATTGCAACCATTCAAATTGACAGTAACTCTGTTTATAGTGATATTAATGACATCTAAGGTATGTAAGTGAGAAAGGTGTGAGACAGTGTTATTTCTTTAAAAAGGACAGACACATGGACACACACACAAACACACACACACACACCCGTTTGTAAATTTATAGAATTCTCTGGGAAAATACCCAAGAAACGGACATTCAGGGTTACACCTAAAGAGAAAAACTGGAAGCCATAGGAGGATAGACATTTTTTATCGTATACCTTTTTACTACTAATTGAATTTGGATTATTTACTTTGTGCACATCTTACCTATTTAACAACAAAGAGAATTTGATTGTAAGCTAATGATATAGCGGTTGATCCAACTCCCCTCATGCAAGTTTCTTAGCTCACAGATTCAGAAATAGTTATCACTGGGTGGTCTGACCCACAGACTTCCCCCCAACCCCCTGGGAGCCACGTAATCCAGCCCCTGTGCAGAATCCTTGGCACAAATATTCCCACTTCATTTTGTATTACACATAGGATACATGGGCTGAGATGGATGAAATAACTTCACAGGCTAGTAAACAAAAAGCAAGTATTTTCATTCAACTCATTCAATTCTCTCATTCTCGGGGTTTGCTTTTTGTATTATATAGAAATGATGACCAAGACGGTGTTTTACACTGGATGGACGTACTGAAATCACCTGTTATTCCATAAAGAATCAAAATCATTTATACAGGAAAGGGTTAAATTAGCATCATAATCAGAATGGGGAAAAGCAGCTGTGTTAGGACTGATTTCATAGGCTCTGCGGGGCTCTGGGACACGCATACATAAAGCAGAGGCTGATTTGAATTTCACTTCCATTTGAGTTTTCAGTTTAGAGGGTGATATAGTATCTTTATACACTGGTTTGGCAGATCCAGTGGGTGAATGTCATCTATTAAAAGTCAGGCAGACAAGATAATTTCCTGCTCATCAGAGAGGGTTCAAACTACATGACTGTTAAATATTTCTTTGACTTTTCTATAGTGCTGATACTAAAATTATAATAAACTGCCTTTCAATTAAAAAGTCAAGGTAATTTAGCAGAACAAACACAATGCTGATGCAGGGTTTTTTTCAGAGAAGTTAATTCTCTGAAATTCGACAATTCAAACTGTGAAAAATAAAGTCTTGTGTAGTACAAAATTTAGTTACAATGGATATTTCAAGAACATGAATTGGGTCATAACCCTGAAAGTACTACTTACCCCATTCTTGCTCCCAATGACAAACTAAATTAGTAAACTTTAGGGAAATAAACTATGTTTAAAATACATTTTTATTAACCCAAACACTTGAACCTTAGGTGTCACAAAACAAATGACAAAACTTCAAATTAAGAACTATTACATTCAGGGGGTGAATGAATGGGTGGCTCAGTCGGTGAAGTATCTGCCTTTGGCTCACTCAGGTCATGTTCTCTGTGTCCTAGCATCAAGCCCTGCAAAGGTCTCCTTGCTCCCTAGGGAGTCTGCTTCTCCCTCTGCCCCTCTCTCTGCTCATGTTTGCACTCTCTCTCTTTCAAATAAATAAATAAATAAGATCTTAAAAAAAAGAAAACTATTTCATTTAACATTTAATGAGATTCTCAATATATCATTAATAACAAAACAACTTCAAACCTTGGATTTATATAATTTTTAAAACACTTTAAAAACTGCTTTCAAATATATTTTCATATTTGATCATCCTACTGACTCTTTGAAGCAGGTAAGGCATTTTATAGATGAAGTGACCAAAGTTCTGAAAGTCAAAATGACTTATTTAGAAACAATGTAAATTAGCATTGCTAAAAACAATATATTTGGGGCGCCTGGGTGGCTCAGTGGGTTAAGCCTCTGCCTTCAGCTCAGGTCATGATCTCAGGGTCATGGGATCGAGCCCCGCATCGGGCTCTCTGCTCAGCAGGGAACCTGCTTCCTCCTCTCTCTCTCTCTCTGCCTGCCTCTCTGCCTACTTGTGATCTCTCTCTGTCAAATAAATAAATAAAATCTTTAAAATAAAAATAAAAAAACAATATATTTAAAGCTTACAGAATCTAGTGGGTTTTCAGCCACTGTGTCAGATTGAAAAAAAAAAAAAAACAAAAAAAAACAAGACTTGATATTTCTTTTATTCATTGGTATTGACACAAAAGGCACACTTCCCAAATCTGTCTTGAGGACAAAAGCTGGAAGTCACTGCACATTAAGACAGATGACAAAATAAAAAATAGAGCACCAAAAAGTTACAAACAAGACGATGAACTTTAGTCACGATAAATGTAAAGTGGGTTCAAAAATTAGTGCTTAGGTATGTAATAGGGAAAACATAAGCCTTTCTTCAAAATCATTTATCAGGCACCTACTATACGTAAGCTGCTATGCTGGAACTGTAAATAGGACATACCACTCCTCATCAGTTTATCTCCGTGGATAAACTTTATATGCTCTTGCATATCTAAAAGCTCTTGCTCATCTAAAAGAACATGATCCACATCTATGGC